CTCAAGCATATATTTTTATTTAAAGTAAATTTTGAAAAGTGGTCATTTGACCCCTTGTGAATAAACGTTGATTTTTAGAAAGAAATTCTGAATTTATTAAAGGAAATAATTTGCAGCATAACTTTTCATTTCTAATAAAATTCTCAAGCATATATTTTTATTTAAAGTAAATTTTGAAAAGTGGTCATTTGACACCGCTTTGGTACGTTTAGTGTTAACTCGCTTCTTTCTTCGAATTTTCGCACGATTTCTCTTTCTTTCTCCCTTCCTTTCCAAATTTCTACGATCTCTTTCACTTTCTTCCCGAATTTCGCGGGCAAATTCATCGAATTTAAGCTGGGAATGAAAAATGGGATTGCCAGACAAATTTTATAACAAGAGGGAAGCGCCGTTATTTCGAATTGAAGTAAATAAAAAATAAGCGAATTCAATTAAATCAGATTTGATATGAACAATCTTAGTGAAGAGGAGCAACTGTGAGAATGAAGTTGGAATGGGAGAAATTCGTGAAAAACAGTTGTCATATGATGGTTGCCGATGGTAAGGTGCTTATGCTCTTCAGGTTGATGTTTCGTACAAAAGTGTAGAGGGGCAGGTAGGAGGACTTTGCGTAGAAGCGGATTGGATTAGGATTTGGCAGAAAGGGTGGCAGAGGAGGTCGAATACCCAATTTGCATGCCATAAACCACGTCGGCTCGTGAGATTCAATTTGAAAAAGAGTAGCGAAAAGCCTTGGTCCGTGGCACGTACGACCAAGCTCTCAACCCTCCTCAGACGTCCTCCTGCGTCGCGGCGAAATTCTTCTATTTTGAAATGATTCACCGTCAACACAACTGTATGTTAAAATTACTTCCTTCAGGCATCGAACTTCCTATATAGTCGTAACTTGTATTTTTCTTATCTTCGTCCTTCGTGTTTGAAGAGGAAATTGCCTCGAACAATTGTGAAACCAAGCGCTCGGAGCAGCTTGAAATGAAAGTCATTAGGTGAATGTAATTTTTTAACACAATTAATTGGAGCATCGTGAAAGAGCTCGCAAGAGAAGTTTGCGATTGTATTTTTGCAAAGACAAGCGAAAGGAACAGGAACGGAAATACGCTTATATCGTGCAGATGTACGAACATGTGTTTCGCGGCGTTAAATACGCGGTAACACTCGATAGATTTATTCAGTCTGTCACTGGATCCCGCGGCGACATGAAACTCCACACTTATTTCTCGTGTTACACCCACGTACCGTTGGGTAATCATCGTATAATAGCCGAATAATCATTTCGACGAGAGAAGGGTCGCGTTCGGATGAACGCTAGTCGGATAAATAAGAACCGGTGGCCGGAGGCTAGGGGACCAATATGGCCATCTTAAACGCGCAACCCCGTGTATCTAACCCCATTGAGATGTTTATTATTCACTTAGGATGCTCACGTGCTACTTTGTTCCCTGCTGAGCTTTTACCAAACTTTACCCCTTCGTTGAGTAAGCCAAGTTCTATCGAGTGAGCAAGTGTCGCGCGAAAAATATATCGCAAACGCGTAGGAAACACGTTCACTTACTTTCACGTGTGTTGCGTGCAACATTTTGAAATTTCACAAGTGTAGGATGAGAATTTTTTTGGCAAATTCCTCTCTTCCTCTCTTTAC